TTTGTGTTTATGCAGAACAGCAGTACCCATTTATATTATTGCCCTAGGGTTATGATAACTCTTCCACACTGCATCATAATATAATCAAAAGAGATCTAGACCATCTTAACATCACACATAATGTCACAATGACCTACCACATTGATGACATCATGCTAGCTGGGTGAGGTGAATAAAAGCAGCTAGCATATTGTACACTGGAGGATGGGAAAAAATCCTTTAAGACCCAGCAAGCTGTTACGTCAGTGAAATTTTTAGGGCCCAGTAGGCTGCTTGAATGCCAAGATATCCCCTTCACAGTAAAGGACAAATTATTACATCTCGCCTACTCATTTCACCAAAATTATTCTGCCACCAAGGAAGCACACCAAGTTGTGTAGGCCTCTGTGGGAATTCAGAACTTGGCAATACTGTTCTGACTCAAACTGGGTGAGATAGAAGTCTGCCAGTTTTCAGTGGGATCCACAGCAGGTAAAAGTTCTCTAGTAGGTACAGTGCATTTAGCCCTGTGGCATGGACCAATTCAGGTTATTCTATAGTACAAGAGTATATATGATAAGAAGCCATGAAAGTTGATGGCAAGCTGCAATGGAAGAATCACAAGGTCGACTCCTGGCATTCTGTGGCAAGACCAGGCCATCTGCAGTGCAAAACCCAAAAAGCAACTATCCATGCATGCTAATGTGCCTTGGTAAGAACCGATCATGGACATCAAGTGACCATGTAGCCAGAGATGCCCATCATGAGCTGAGCACAAGCAGGTGGTCAGGCTCCCACATCGTATCTATTCTTTACCAATGTCCCTTCCTAAGCTCACTCTTATGGCCACTTGGGAGGCTCTCATGTCTAGCTTATGGAGGACAGAAAAAAGCCTATGCTGAATTCATGAATTCACTGAGTTGTCTTGGAATATAGGTTCAAAACAAAAATGGACTGCTACTGCCCTACAGCCCCGCACAGGACTGGCCTTAAAAGACAGCAGTGAGGAGAACCCTCCCAAAAGGCAGAATGTGAGGCAGTATTCCTGGTCATCAACTTTGTGTGGAAAAAAAGTGGCTTGAAGTAAGAACATATTTTCATGTCAAATGGCAAATAAGTTGGCTAGTTAATCAGGGGTCTGGAATGAGAAAGACTGGCATATCAGGGACAAGAGGTCTGGAGAAGCAGTGGAGAAATATATGAGATATGGCGCATAAGTAGAGGTTTTTGTATTACATAACACAATCTTTATCTGCCAGAGACAATCCAACATGTAAGCAGCATTAAACAACCAAGTAGATTTAGCCAGTTAACTTCAGCAGCTGCAGCCATCAGCTCCACAGTCCCCTCTCCCCACCCCTAGGAATGGCATAGGGGGCTCATGACGAAGTAGTCATCTTGCAGGAATGCAAGTGAGCAAGAGGAAAACAGATAGCTTCCACTTGTCAAATAGTCACTCCCCAATGTTAAACACTAAGTTCCTGATATGGCACTAACCCTCAAGGATACCAAACAGCTAATTGGCAGGAAGCTGATTTATGCTGGATTCCTTCCATCCTAGAATGGGCAGTGATTCTCCTTGACTAGAAACTGCCCATCTCCATGTATGAGTTTGACCTCCTTGCCTGTAAGTTGTTGGCCAGCTCTACTATTCAAAGGTTTACAGGTTTTTGATCCATTAACATGTATCCTAATATTGCCTTTGATTTAGGGACCCACTTTACAGCAAAGGAGGGATATCAGCAGGCACATAACCATGGGATCCACTGGTCCTATCACATACTCTACAACCTAGAAAATGCAGGCTTGATGGAATGATGGAAACCGTTTAGAAGGTGAAACTGAAGGAAAAGCTTGAAGATAATTGCCTGTGAAGATGGAATGGCCTTGTTCACCAGGGTACAGCATATACACTAAATCCACACCCATTGTGTGGTACTGTGTCTCATATACATATAACATGCATGTTTGGGAATTGAGACCTGAGTCACCACTTGCAGAAGTCTGACTTGCAGACCCTGACTCAATGACAGATGAATGAATGCACTCACACCATTACAGTGTTTCAAGTGGGCTAGGGATGGCTGTTGGCTTCTTTCAGAGGGCGAAATACAACCAATTGATCCAGACCCTCTGTCTGTCCACACATTTATTCCCTCAAGATTTTACAACAGGGCTGGGCATGGCAGCTCACACCTGTAATCCCAGCACTTTGGGAGGCCGAGGCAGGTGGATCACCTGAGGTCGGGAGTTCGAGACCAGCCTGACCAATATGGTGAAACCCCGTCTTTACTAAAAATACAAAATTAGCTGGGCATGGTGGCACATGCTTGTAATTCCAGCTACTCAGGAGGCTGAGGCAGGAGAATTGCCTGAACCCAGGAGGCGGAGGTTGCAGTGAGCTGAGATGGCGCCATTGCACTCCAGCCTGGGCAACAATAACAAAACTCCATCTCAAAAAAAAAAAAGATTTTACAACAGAGGTTCTAAGTTAACACATTTGTGGGTAATTAACATGGTTTAAAAGAGTAGTTTTACCACAGGTAAAAGCTTTTGGTTCTGGGGCCCAGAGTAAATACTATTACTAGGTAATTCTCCTTTGATCCTCCACCCAGCACAAAATTAACATGAGTAAACAGAGCATAGGAAAGAGATGGCTGCCTTCAACCTGCCTCAATAAAACCCTTTGGCCTTCTAAAAGGTTTGAGACTATAATCTATAACTTTCCCTAAATATTTTCTGTAATATTTTGCCAACCACCCTAAGTGAATAGCAACAGGGAACGAAAGGACATAAATAGAATTCCCACTGCGTAGTAGGCTGAATAATGGCCCCCAAATATGACCATATCCTACTAACTGGATTCTATGAATATGTTACCTTCATGGTAAAAGGATCTCAAGATACAGAGATTATCTTGGACTATCCAATAGGTCCAATATAATCATAAAGATTCCTGCAAGGGAGAGGCAGGTTTGCTTAGTAGATGTGATAACTTAAGCAGGAGGATGGAGGGATGCGAGGAAGGGGCCATGAGCCATTGAAATGTAGGCAGCCTCTAGAAATTGAAAAAGGCAAGGAAACAGACTTTTTGTTGAAGACTTCAGGAAAAACAGTCCTGTTGACACCTTAATTTTAGGCTTCCAGAACTATAAGAAAATAAATTTGTGATGTCTGAAACCACTAAATTTGTAGTAATGTCATGGGAATGGTAGGAAATTAATATAACCACATACTCTCACTCCCAGTGAGCCATGTAGGGAATTTGTGAGTCTAGAAGTCCTGATTCCCAAGAGAACTTTTTCATCAAGAGACACAATAACAGATCCTTCAAGTTTTAACTTGCTGAGGTTTCCCAGTCACTTCAGGGTCCCTGTGCCAGAAGACCAGCAGGTAAGGAAGAGTCACCATGTTGGTTGGGGTAATTGAATTCATTCATCAGGAGGAAGAAGCATTATTGTTACACAATGATGGCAGGAAGGAATATACCTATATTTTATACTCAAGGTACAGTGGTCTCTTGAAACTTCCCAATATCGAGTAAAATGGACCACTTCCAAAACAGCAGGGTAAAGATCTCCAAATACTGGCTCCTCTACAAAAGCAATGAGAACATGGGCAAAAATGGTCAAAGTCAACTTTTTCAGAACTCTAGAATTTAAAAGCTTACAATCTGAGGTGCCTTTATTTGAGAAAAACAGCTAAATCTTGGGAAACAGGGAAGCATTTTAACTTGCTTTATTCCCACTCCCCACCTCTAACACAATGTTAAATAACAGTGGCAATGGTGAGCAACCTTGCCTTGCTCCTAACTTTAGGGAGAATGCTTTCAGCATGTTTCACTATTAAGCGATATACAGTATCCAGAGTCCTGTTACACTGTTGGCTTTTTGTCATCCGTTTCCCACTGCACTGTAGTGTCACTTTTCTAATGAATCAAGTGATTCTATACATGTGGAGTTTTTGTAGACTTTCTGTTCTGTTCCATGGGTCAGTTTTTCTATCCATGCACCAATACTATCTTTTCTTCTTTACTATAGCTTGGAATAGGTCCTGATGTCTCACAGTATAAATCCTTCAACTTTGTTTTTTAAGACTGCCTTAGCTATTCTTGACATTTTACAGTTTCTTAGGAATTTTAAAATCAGTTTTTTTTTTTATTTTTGGAAAAAAGAACCTACTGAGGTTTTTTTAAATTGAGATTACATAGAATCTATAGGTCAACATCTTTACAATACTAAATCTTCCATCTTGAAGTTTAAAGAATTATTGTGTCTGTTAATGAAAAAGTTCCTCTCTTGGGAATCAGAACTTCTAGACTCACAAAGTTGTGGGGATGAGAAGCACAAACTCGCCACATGGCTCACTGGGAGTAGGAGTATGTGGTTATATTAATTTCCTATCGCTGCTATGAGATTACTACAAACTTGAACTTCTGGGCTCAAGCGACCCACCCTCCTCCACCTCCCAAAGTGCTGGGATTTCAGGCATGAGCCACCACATCCAGCTGGAAACATCTTTTATCTTAAAAATTTCTAAGCATCTTAAAAATTACCTCATTACTATAAATTTAGTTTTAACATAGCATTTTAACACACTTGCCAAGATCTTATTCAAACCTTCATTTTATAGACAGAGAAAGAGAGCTCACACAGGGGAGTCCAAGGGAGAGAATATAGTTATGGGTTCTTAGTTTCCGTTTCTGGTTGGGCCAGTAAATACCCTTCCTCATCCTCTTTTCCGCTTATCACTAGAGACAGAAACTAAAAACCATGGCTTCAGCCTATTAAAAACCTAAAACAAAACAGAACACAACAATAACAAAATAAGGTGGGTTGAAAAAGCTTGGCAGAGAGCCTGTTTGGAGAAGCTGTGTGAAAAAGATAAGACTCTGCCACCACTCCTGAAAGCTCTTGGCCCAAGACGGAACTTAGTCTCAGAAACTCTTATACTAATAAAATTTGTACATCAAATTAAGATCAGAGACAGTCAAAACATTAATAAAGACTGAAACATTTGTTCATTACACATAATTTTATTTCATATTTACATTTATTTTAAAATAAAAATTAGAGGAAAGCCCATCAACTTACTTTCCATGAATATAATATAATAGAACTTACCTATCTCCTCTATGCAACTTGTGGTTTAGATGAGTCCTTCTGGATCTTTTTCCCCATAAGGGCCTCTCTCCTTTTGCTTTACAGTGTAATCAGGGCAGAATAGATAGGTTGAGTAGCTAATTTATATCTCTGAAGATCTCCATAGATCTCTGAAGTTCTAAGTCTTCATAATCTTTGCGCCTTGACAAGTCTGCATTCCTTTGGGAATTTCGTCATAACCACAAGGTTATTCCCCAGACATGCAGTTTGGGGAAATTAACCCGGCAGTAAACGGACTGGATTAGAAACAGTGGCAATCATAATGAGGTTATGCAATAAATGCAGAAAGCCACAGAAGGATCTTGAGTTAGGACAATGACAGTGACAACAGAAACGAGGCCAGTACAAGAGATGGTGAAGACGGAATGGATACAATTTAGTTGCAAAACTGGCTGTGAGTGAAAGGAAGAAATCAAAGATGCCTGAAGCTCTGAGCTTCAGGTAGCTCTGGGTTTAACTTAGTTTCGATTTATCTTTGGATATACTAATTGCTGACTACCAACTGAACAAGGTAGTCAACTTGTCATCTTGTAACTTACCTAAATCTCAGTTTCCTCCTCTGTAAAACTATCAAAATAAAGCCGATGAAAAGATTGAAATAAAATATAAAACTCTTGGCACAGTGCCTAGTATCCATTAAGCAGTAGATAAACGTCGGTCATTATTAGGGAGTAGGGTAGAGGATAAGAACAGAAGGTTAAAAACAAGAGTAGGAGTAAGGATTTTGGGGTGGGATTCGATCTTTCTATTACACATTACACATACCTCCAAGCAGAGAAAGGAGTTGGAGGAGAGTTTGATAATGTGACTAACAATCCTCCTCCCCTTACGGGGGGATCTTGATAAAAGATAACCACCCACACGGAGGCCTGATATAAACTGGATTGCAGAATGCACTTGAGCTGGGAGCCCAAGTGGGCCAGGCTTCTTGCTTCCTATTTTATCCCCCTTAAGCAAGGATAGCTAGGTCTATAGTGCAGCCTCAGACCTAACTTACACTATCATTTGCTGCTGAAGTTTCCAAAAAAAGATAAAGATAGCCAGATCATATTAATTACATGGACAGTAAAGAAAGCATGAGCCCTGAGCAGGAAGGAACTGTCCAGGTGTACTTACCTCAAAGATGAGAAATCGAAGACAGCAAACCCTAGGTTCTTGGCCTTCAGTCACTAACTGCTTGCCATTGGTAAAACGCGGCCGATGAATGTCCTCACTTTTGTCTATCTGGGCAGGAGGTGATAAGAGTGATGTGCAAAGGGATGGGAGGAACGTTTTTCTCTGCGGCGCCCACCACACCCAGCCCAGTGCCACGCACAGCAAGCGCTCCATAAACGCACACAGCGCCGCCTCTACCAGGATCCCGGGCGGCCTTCACGGGATTTCTCTTGGCGTCGGCTTTCACACCCGGCCTCCAGGCGGGGTGGAACAGGTCGAGAGGGCGGCATCCTTTGGCTTTTCTCCTCCCACGCAGCTCTGAACCATGTTTATGCAACGTTTAATGGGCTCTAATAAAACTACTAATAATTTTGCCCGGCGGAAGCACCGACTACCTTGCTAAGCCGACTCTGCGGGGATGAAGCCATAACCCTGAGGCGGGAAAGTGCGGCTACCGAAAAGCGCATGCGCTACGGGGAGACGCTAGCGCTAGCTACGGAGATGGGCGGAAACCATGGCAACCCTGCGTGATGACGACAGGGTGAGCGTCCCCAGCGCTGGATTATGACGCAGGCAGTGGGCGTGGATTCTGCGGTTCGCGTGACCGCGGGCGCAGCCGCCGGGCCTCGCCAAAACAGCAACGGCAGAGGCCGGCGGGCGAGGTCAAGATGGTGGCTCCGCGGGCGGGGGAGGCGGTGGAGGGAGGAGGAGTCAGACCTTAGCCAGCCGGAAACACCGACACCCAGAGACCTCCTGGGGAGCCGCCGCCGCCTTCTCAGCCACCGCCGCCTCCGCCGCCTGCTCCAGCTCGAGGGACGCGAGCGGGCGGCGGGGCGGGCCGTGAGAGAGACACGAGAGGAAGGAGGGCGGGGGCGGAGTTGCCCGCCTTAGCTCCCGCCCCCGGCCGCGGCCCGCGGCTCTACCCGGCCCGCCCAGCCCCGGTGTGGCAGCGGCTCATGGCGGCGGTGGGGCCCCCGCAGCAGCAGGTGCGAATGGCCCATCAGCAGGTCTGGGCGGCGCTCGAAGTGGCGCTCCGGGTGCCCTGCCTTTACATCATCGACGCCATCTTCAACTCCTACCCCGATTCCAGCCAAAGCCGGTTCTGCATCGTGCTCCAGATCTTTCTCCGGCTCCTTGGTAAGGGAATAGGGTACTCTGCGTCCCGGGACGGCTCTGCGGGCTGAGACGTGCCCCGGGGAACGGGCAGGCGCGCAGAGGCCATGGGTCGAGTATGTGATTTTGGGAACTCCGGTTTCATCCCTCAAAGGGTCGTCTTTACGTGGTGGGAGGGGGAAGGAAATGATACTTCTCTGAGTTGACAGCGGAGCAGTCCCCCTAGCGAGGACTCAGTGTTGCACCCGACTGAGGCAGGGAAGCAAAGCTGTGTGAGCATGCGGCTCTTTGCCCGCTGTTTGTCTTGGGTTATGAGTACTGGTTTACTGCGTCCTATGCGACAGCCTTCGAAAAACAGCTCTGCTGTCTCCAAGTCTCGTCGTATGTGACCTTGGACCTGTGCCAAGGCGTGGGCCTCAGTTTCCCCTTATTACAAAATGCAGAGTCCTTTTATGTTGTCACTTCTACTGCACCCTAGGGTCCACAGGATCGTGAACTGTCTGTAGTAAATGACATCCAAGCGAAGGAGACAGGGTTTCAAATGTCAGACCTTGAAACCATTACCAGAAATTGTCATGAAAGTGGTGATGCTTAAATCGTGTCCTAAAATTTTCCAGTAATAAACGAGAAGGTATTGAAGATGACTGTAAAAAGTGATGAGACGTTTGCAAAAGAGACTTTTGAAATCATTGTCTTTGTTTCATATGGATGGAGTGTTAAAAGTATCTTTCATTCTTCCTCCATCTTCACTTACATCATCAGAGTGAGATGCATTTATGCATAAAAGAATTTTTTAAGTAATTGCAACTTGGCAAATTTTGTTAATGAGGTAATTCTACCGCTCGGTCTTAAGCAGGCTAGTGCTTTTGAAGTGTTGCTGAGGGCAAACTGATGGTGAGGTCCTTACCAAGCCTTTCTGAATTACAAGCCATCTGTTGCTTTATTCCTACAAAAGGGGAGTGGCAATAAAGGCTGCATTTTGTTCTTAGCAATAAATAGCCATATTTTACATTTGTCTCGTACTTTACTTTTGCAAAGCATTTTCACTGGTATTATCTAACCTGACCTTCAAACATCCCTCAGAGCTGGGTGGTGTTATTCTCATTTTACAAACCAGGAAACAGGGTCATAGAGGTTAAGTGTTTTGCTCTTGGTAGGCAGCCGGTAAGTGGTTGCCAGAGCCTGGGCTTAAAAATCTTTTGACATTAAGTATGGTTTACTTTCCTCCTTAACAGCTGCAATCCAGATACAGAACTCTGTAGTAATGATCATATGCTAGATCTTAAACCTTAATTTTAACTAAACCAAACGTGATGTTCTTCAGCACAAGCTGCTTCAGTTACCCACGGGCTACCTAATTCCAGCCATTCCTTCTTGCCACTGCTAACGTATAACACCACCATTATTTGTGTTAAAAACTGGGCTCTGTTTGAGAGGATTCTGCATATTCATCCCAGAAATAGGGTAGTGATTGCTTTGAATATTTTTACAGCATGATAACTGCAGATTCTCTGAGAATACCTTTGGGACCTGGTGCTTTACTGCAGCACTCTGTTGAGCTTCAGGCTAGGCAGCCTCAAAGAAAAGATGTATTTTCCTTAATTAAATAATTTGCAGTTTAAGAACATTGAACAAGGTAATCTGGTATTTTCTTTGTACTCACCATGCTTCTTTTGTAATAAATTGTGGAAGTTTGTGTTTGACAATTTAAAGAACATGACTTAAGGTGACTGCTCAGTGCTTTGGTTTTTTATTTTTACGTTTTAAAATGTGGACAGTGATGATAGCTGTTTCATAGGGTGTTAAAGACAATAAAACTATTTTAATGCTTCATTTAATACATATTTTGTTAGATATTTTGGTCTTTTGAAATCATCAGCAAAATATTGGTGCCGTTTATTTGAAAATTTTGAACCCAGAATCTCTGGATCAGACTTTTGAGAAATACGAAATATTTTCCAAATCTATCATCTTATGATATTTTATATTGTGCCATGTAATTATGCTAATTTTTCACATTTGTAAGGATGGTAAGAATGGAAAAACTGGTTTTGGTACTTAAAAATTACATGTTACTAAAAGACACAGGTTTGTGTGTAAAAGATGCCAGTGGATAGTTGAAATTAATTGTTCTGCCTTGTTTCTTACAGTTGTAGACTTCTCAGTACTACTGTGTATGTCTTAACACTTTTCAACCTCACCTTTTTCTTTAAAATTAATGTGTAAAAATGGGAATCTATCTCTAAGTAAAAAGCATTACCAGTTTTATGTGTGGTGGTAGAAGTATTTACTCCTCTCTAACTACAAAACAGTACTTCAACTGTACCTTCATTTGATATCAAACTAATTTGAGATTTCAGCAGGTCAGAAAATAAAGCAACTCATTTTGGAGATCCAAATAAAATTCTATGACAATATACAGAATATTGAAGAACATAAAAGCTGTGTCTTAGGGGATGTTAAATGCTAAATGAAACTCAACCCAGAGTAGCATAATGCTGAGTTAGCAAATTTAAATCCAAAGCAGAAAATGCACGCCTAGGAGTTTGTTTTAATAGTATTACTCATATGGTGGTAATTCATTGAGGTGGGAAAAGGCTTTAAACATAACAGAAAACCCAGAAGTTACAAGGAAAAATCTGATAAATTTGAGTACATAAAAATGAAAAGCTTTTTTATGGCAAAACTTAAAAATCCTTAAATGACAAACTGAGAGAAAGTACTTGCATCATATGTGATTCACTTTCTAGTAAGATTTTTACCCTGCCAGGGAGGCTGAGGCAGGAGAATCGCTTGAATCAGGGAGTCGCAGGTTGCAGTGAACTGAGATCTCACCACTGCACTTCACCCTGGCAACAGATGGAGACTGTCTAAAAAGAAAAAGAAAAAAACTTACACTCCCTTAGGAAAATGCCTAAGACAAGCAATTCACAATAAACAATGTTCAATAAGTAAGAGAAAAGTATTTAGCCCTTCCTGCAGAAGCTTGATTTTATGGAAAGAAAAAATTAGCCTTATTTATAATTGAATACAGTCAAGAGCAGGTACGGTGGCTCACACCTGTAATCCCAGCACTTTGGGAGGCTAAGGCGGGTAGATTGCTTGAGGCCAGGAGTTTGAGACTAGCCTGGCCAAATGGTGAAACCTGTCTCTACCAAAAAATGCGAAAATTAGCCGGGCACAGTGGTGCCCTTCCCCCCCAGTCCCAGCTACTCTGGAGGCTGAGGCACAAGAATCAGTTGAACCTAGGAGGTGGAGGTTGCAGTGAGCCAAGATCACACCACTGCACTCTAGCCTGGGCAACAGAGAGAGACTGTCTCAAAAAAAAAAAAAAAAAAAAAAGTCAAGGCACGAAACAGTGGCTCACACCTGTAATCCCAGCACTTTGGGAGGCCAAGGTGGGCAGATCACAAGGTCAGGAGTTCTAGGGCAGCCAACATTGTGAAACCCTGTCTCTATTAAAAATACAAAGATTAACTGGGTGTCGTGGTGTACGCCTGTAATCTCAGCTACTCAGGAGGCTGAGGCAAGAGAATCACTTGAACCTGGGAGGCAGAGGTTGCAGTGAGCTGGGATCTTGCCACTGCACTCCAGCCTGGGTAACAGGGTGAGACTCTGTTTCAAAAAAAAAAAAAAAGTCAAAATAAAATTTATTTATCAGATTGATGAAGAGTTCAAAGTTTGATTAATTTGGCAAAGGTATTTACCATTTTGAAGTAGGTAAATTTATACAATTTTGGAAGACTGTTCTGTGTAAAACCATTAGACACCATCAACTGTCATTTACAGCTGACTTTTTTGTTTGTTTTTTTGAGATGGAGTCTCACTGTGTCGCCCAGGCTGGAGACAGTGGCACGATATCTGTTCACTGCAACCTCCACCACCTGGGTCAAGGGATTCTCCTGCCTCAGCCTGCTGAGTAGCTGGGATTATAAACACGCCCCACCACGCCCAGCTAATTTTTGTATTTTTAGTAGAGACAGGGTTTCAACATGTTGGTCAGACTGCTCTGGAACTCCTGACCTTGTGATTTACCTGCCTTGGCCTCCCAAAGTGCTGGGATTACAGGCATGAGCCACCATGCCCAGCCCTTTTGTTATTTTTGTTGTTTTGGAGACAGTCTTGCTTTGTTGCCCAGGCTGGAGTGCAGTGGCATGATCTCATCTCTCTGCAACCTCCACCTCCCAGGTTCAAGAGATTCTCCTGCCTTAGCCTCCCAAGTAGTTGGGACTACAGGTGCATGCCACCCCGCCAGGCTCATACAACTTTTGATTCACAATTTCAATTCTAGGGAATTGACCTACAGATATAGTAGTGCAAAAGAATTATGGGCAAGCATTACTGGAAATAACAAAGCAACAAACCTAATCTGAATATGTATTGATACAAATCTGTCCATTGTATTATGTCTAGCCATGCAGTAAAGTTCTTTTCTTTTCTTTTCTTTTTTTTTTTTTTGAGAGTGTTTCGCTCTTGTTACCCAGGCTGGAGTGCAGTGGCGTTGTACGGCTTACCTCAACTTATACGTCCTGGGTTCAAGCGATTCTCCTGACTCAGCCTCCTGAGTAGCTGGGATTACAGGCATGTGCCACTACACCCAGCTTATTTGTGATTTTAGTAGAGACGAAGTTTCTCCATGTTGGTCTGGCTGGTTTCGAACTCCCAATTTCACATGATCCACCCAAAGTGCTGAGATTACAGGCGAGAGTCACCACACCCGGCCTCAGTAAAATTCTTGAAAGGAATGAGATAGCTAGCTATTTTTGGTGCTGTAAAAGACCTCAGAAAACCTATGAAGTGAAAACACAAAGCCAACATAATTATAACTGTCATAGGAATAAACTGAGATTTTTCAACAGTGGCAGTATTGACATTTTGGACACGATAATTCTTTCTTTGGGGGTGGGGGCTCTCCTGTGCACTGTAAGATTTTTTAGCAGCATCTCTATCCCCTACCGCTTAGATGTCAGTAACACCTTGTACCCCCACAACCCAGTGTGACAGCCAAAACTGTTTCTAGATAA